AATTATTAAGACACTGGAATAACCAGCCAAAGTCTATGTCCATTACATATATAATTAAATGAGTAACAAATATCATGCATTAATTTGTCTTAGAGTGGGGATAAACGTATCCATCTTTCAAACATTGCAAGACATTCTTTGGGCTTGTACTCTGGCGCTGTATGACCTGCACCCTGCAAATATTCACAAGCACCATAAATCATACAAACAAATAACTAAATAAATGAAAAACAATACTCCTAATTACTTCAAAACTCATAACATTTTCAATAAAGAAACTTGCCTTCACCGTGGCGAAAGTTATATAAGCCTCATTGTTCTTATTGTTTTTATACGTCTCCGTATATCTGCAATGAACAATTTTACATATCGATTGTGAGGTTAACTTTTCACTATCAGTCGCCTTTAGTGTTTTCTGGGCCATGAAGCAAAATTCTTGGCAACAACAAAAACACTAACCCAGCTACTTGACCATCTACAGTCCAAGGCCTCCATGCGCTATCGATCGTGAGATTTAGTTCGCGTATCCATCTCAAAGTGCTCAAGTAAGGTACAAACATGTCATGATCACCGCTGTAAGAAATATCACGGCTTTTAAATCCAACCGACAAATTCACACTAATTTTCCTGATCTTCAAGAAATTAACATGACATACTGAAGTCAATCTTGTGACATGAGTTTTAGTAATCATAGAGAGGAAACAATGTACTTTACTATAACCTAGACGAACTGCCGGGTCGTTTTAGTAATTTGGCCTAAATAAAAGTTTAGCCGAATGAATATAGATAGCTCTTTAACTCACCTGTAAGCCAATGTTCGGAAGCCTTTCTCATTCAGTAGTTGATGATCTCTAAAAACACTCTCCACATCGGATTCATAGCCTAATGTTAGATTGCATCTTTTCCAATCGCCTTTCGTACCCTGATTTTCGTCAGGCACAAAACTACATTATGGCAAGCAATGTAACGAAAAAAACAGAAAAAACAAAAATGTTTTGTTCCTCCTAATAGATACCTTTCTGATATAAAGAGCTTCTCGTACAGTTTCATCGTTCATCCAGACGTAAGAACTCACATAATTATAGTTCTGCTAAGAGAAAAGACATATCTACGTCGGGAATTCTATAGATTATAGGAACAGCATCTATCATGGGTTTCTTTCTTACAAGTAGATTAAACTACAAGGGACTTCTTTTGTATTATAACTATAAAGAACAATGTCAAAAGAAGAAGGCAGGAAAAAAATTACACGGCACTTAGGTGCGTCTTGTTTGGACAGGAAGAGGAGATCGTGAACTGGATCATCATCTAGTAAGTGTGAGCCCCATGTATGATTATTAGGTTTCGGTGTGATGAATAAGCATTTGGGCTCAAGAATATGATTCTGCCAGACACGATCCGTGCACTGCATTTTTTATATTGTAGAAAGGAGAATCGTTTTAGTTTCTCAAACACCCGATTGACTTGCACGTATGAATTATAAGATACGAGAATGTGACGTTTTCAGCACCTGTTTGGCAAGCTGAAGAGCAAAAATGCATAGTATATTGTTTGGATCTGGATTCACATACTCTCCACGACAGCTGCTTTTTGCTAGCTGAGACATTCTTATTTCGAGTTAATCAATAATTTCGCGTTTTCTTTTAATGTGAGACATAGTTCTCAATGTAAAAGTTCTGTATACTAATCTTATCTTATATATATAAGAGAATACCTCATAATATTCATCAGATATGAGTGCCATCCTGTGAGCATAAGGTATCTTTTCATTGTCATCCTTGCTTAGATCGGTTATTGAGTTCCCAACCGAGTAACCCTGCTTCACGTTTTATTTTCTATTTTCAGAACTGTTACCATGCTAATTAATCAATGCTTGGGAAGACTATAACAAAAGTTGAGGCCAAAACAAGATTACAATAAACAACACTTACTTGAAGTAACATTCGTGGCTGATTTCCAGCTTCATTACCTGAAAATCAAGACCAAGGGTCCGATATTTTCGTAAGTAACCCCAAACTGCAGGGCACTGTTTAAGAAAATAATGTATTCAATTATAGTCTTGAGGGCGACCTTTTGCTATTTCCACAGCTACCATGGGTACGATTTTGCCTCCATAAGAGTCACCGGAAATATAGAGGGGATTCTTGATAAACATGGGGTGAATCGACAACCACTGCATTTTATTTTTTTACGTTCGATGTTAGCTTAAAAAGATGGCCTTTTTTTCATAGGACTTAAGTTGCCTAGTACAAATAATGTTTTTGGGTAAGTAATTACCTTTTGCATGAAAGCGTAAATATCTTTTGTCGATTTAGTGTCGGACGAGTTGTAACCTTTGGACGTGTTTGCATACGAGAATCCAGTGCCGACAGGGGAGTCTATGAATATAACACTAGCAACCTATGAAAATACATATTATTCTATGTTAACTCATGTTAAGAAACTTTAAACAAGTTGAAAGGTAAGCAATTAAGCAGCTACTTACGAACCTTAGTCCATGAAGAAGGATTTAGAATTAACGATGGAAGGCTTCCATCGAAACTCTCAAGATCAAAGGCTAGAGGACCTGAAAGAATTGGTAATACATCAATGTTCAGACGAAGTCCGTGCTAAGTTAATCTTGTAAAGGTTGATATCAACATTACTACATTACGTAAACAAGGCCGGAAAAACCCACCGATTTCGTAAACAAGGCCGGAAAAACCCGAGCAGCCCGGCCCGCCGGTGATCCATAGCACCAGAGGGTCCCTTCGCGGCTCATTTTCCGACTCGATGAAGTAGTAAAACAGTTGAACCTCCTCGTCCTCTCCAACGCCGATGTACCTGCTTCCACACAATTTTCAACAAGAGTATCTTTAGTCCAAAAAAGAAAAAAAAATGGAAATGAAGTAAACCGGTAAAAAACTGTCTCTAAAAATCCGACCCGGTTTCGAGTTTGAAAGGCAGGTTTCCCGGGTAGCCCGGCAGGGTCTTGATTGTCGACTGCGAAAATGCCGGGTCGAACCGGATTTGAACGAGAAACAGGAACAGCAGATAATGCAACCGGGCTCTCAGCATTTGAGGCCTTGTTTTCGCCATGTTTGTGCTTTCTTGAGCTTATTGTTAGCTGAACAATGTGAAGTGCAGTACTTAGAATAGATAAGAAGTGAAGGGTCACCATCGAGCAATCGTCCTCTTCAACTAGACAGGTTTAATAAATTTGTACAGTTGTGCATACTTTCTTATGTGACCGACATTATTAAGAGTGTCAATAATGCTACCATGGTGGGCACATGTTAATATGTCCACCGCTTATGTGACATGCACACATTGATAAAATATACTCACCGTGGGTAGGAGAGAATTACTCTATTAAGTGGTTTCACTATACATATTGTATTTCGTATTTCGTGACTCGTTGTTACGTATTTCGTATATCAACATATAATTATCTAATACCGAAAAGCTGAGTGGAAAGGGAGATAAAGATCGGCTTAATATATTTCAAACCAAGTCAAATTATTAAGACACTATGTAAATATGACTGAAGTACAACATTGATCGTATAATAAGAGAATCCCGATTTAAGCCTAAGTTAAATTATTGGGAAATGTTGCGGTCCCGTCACGGAATAATTCTGTCGAGGTTTGTAACCATTAGATCAACTATCCCCGACGATTACATTGTGATCAAACAGTTACAAACCCCAACAGAATGATTCCGTAACTGGACCATAGCATTTCTCCAAATTCCTAAGACACTTGTATAACCAGCCAAACTACTCTTCCTCCATTACATATATAATTAATGAAAGCTAATTTCAAATATTATGCACTAATTTGTCTAGAGTGGGGATAAACGTATCCATCTTTCAAACATTGCAAGGCATTCTTTAGGCTTGTACTCTGGAGCTGTATGACCTGCACCCTGCAAATATTCACAAGCACCATAAATCATACAAACAAATAACTAAATAAATGAAAACAACACTTCTAATTACTTCAAAACTCATAACATTTTCAGTACAGAAACTTGCCTTCACCGTGGCAAAAGTTATATAAGCCTCATTGTTCTTATTGTTTTTATATGTCTCCGTATATCTGCAATGAACAATTTTACGTATCGATTGTGAGGTTAACTTTTCACTATCAGTCGCCTTTAGTGTTTTCTGGGCCATAAAGCAAAATTCTTGGCAACAACAAAAACACTAACCCAGCTACTTGACCATCTACAGTCCAAGGCCTCCATGCATTATCAATCGTGAGATTTAGTTCGCGTATCCATCTCAAAGTGCTCAAGTAAGGTACAGTGAAGTCGTGATCACCGCTGTAAGAAATGTCACGACTTTTAAATACAACCGACAAACTCACTAATTTCTTGATCTACAAGCAATTAACATGGCATACTGAAGTCAATCTTGTGACATGAATTTTAATAACCATAGAGAGGAAACCGCCGGGTTAAGTTTAGTCGAATGAATACAACTCTTTCAACGCACCTGTAAGCCAATGTTTGGAAGCCTCTCTCATTCAGTAGTTGATGATCTCTAAGAACACTCTCCACATCGACTTCATATCCTTCTAATCTTATCGTTCTATTGCATCTTATCCAATCGCCTATCGTTCCCTGATTTTCATCCAACACAAAGTTACATTACGACAAGCAATTTGACGAAAAGTAAAATGAAAAATTGATTTGTTTCTCCTAATAGATACCTTTCTGATATAAAGAGCTTCTCGTACAGTATCATTGTTCATCCAGATGTTCGAGCTCAAATAATTATACCTCTGCTAAAAGAGAAGACATATCTACGTTGGGAAACTGTATATATGATAGGATCGGATGCAACCACAACAAAAGAAACACCACAACATAAATAAAAAACTTTTTGGTCCTCGACTTAATATTTTGCTGCAATTTCAGCCCTTTGAGGACTCAAATTGCAACAAACTCTCAAATTACCAGATTTTCGATTCGAAATTTAGGTGATGTAATTTAAAATTTTGTTGAATCAGTTGTGTAATTTAAAATTTCGCAATATTAAATCACAGGACCAAAAGATGAAAAGTTGGAATCATGGGACTAAAACTGCTATGAAGTTAAACTAACATGACTATAAATGTAGTTTTGCCTTCTTATAATAACACCAAACTACAAGGGACTTATTTGTTAATATAACTATAAAGAACAATGTCGAAAGAAGAAGGTAGGAAAAAATTACACGGCAGTGAGGTGCGTCTTGTTTGGACATAAAAAGGATGTCATCAACAGGATCATCATCAACTAGTGAGTCTGAGCCCCACTTATGATTATTAGGTTTCGGTGTGATGCATCTCGGCTCCAGAATATCATCCTCCCAGAGAAGATCCGTGCACTGCATTTATGATATTAGTACAAAGGAGAATCATTTTAATTTCTCAAACACTCAGTTGACTCGACTGGTACATAAGAATTATAAGATTCGAGAATGTAACTTTATACCTGTTTGACAAGCTGAAGAGCTAACGAGCATAGTATATTGTTTGGATCTGGATTCACATACTCTCCATGACAGCTGCTTTTTGCTAGCTGAGATATTTTTTTTAAGGGGATTAAGTCGATAATTTCGTGTTTTCTAATGTGAGACTATTAATACCTCATAATATTCATCAGATATGAGTGCCATCCTGTGAGCATAAGGAATCCTTTCATTGTAATCCTTGCTAATATTGGTTATTGAATTCCCAACTGAGTACCCCTGGATCACATTTTGTTTACTAATTTTCAATATTGTTACCAAGCTAATTAATCAAAGCTTGAGAAAAGTATAACAAAAGTCGAGGCCAAAACAAGATTAATAAAAGAACATAAATTACTTGAAGATTCATTCGCGGCTCATTTCCAGCTTCATTACCTGCAAATTAAGACAAAAGGGTCTCAAAACCTTTTTTCAGATATTTTTGTAAGTAGCCCCGAACTGCAGGGAAGTATAATCCATCGTTTAAGGGAGACCTTTTGTTATTTCCATGGCTACCATGGGTACAATTTTGCCTCCATAAGAGTCCCCGGAAATAAACAGGAGATTCTTGATAAACATGGGGTGAATCGTCAACCACTGCATTTATGTTTCAATTTGAAATTAGCACAAAAAATGGCCTTTCCCATAGGAATAAGTTACGAGTATAAATTATCGATACTTCTTTCTACTGATTCTAGGAAAAACTGAATTGACATATGTATTGCTTTGGCTAATTACCTTTTGCATGAAAGTGTAAATATCTTTTGTCGATTTAGTGTCGGACGAGTAGTAACCTTGGTACGTGCTTGCGTACGAGAATCCGGTGCCAACAGGGGAGTCAATGAATATAATATTGGCAACCTATAAAAACATATATTGTATATGCTTACAAACATTATACAGGTTAAAGATAGGCAATTAAGCAGTTGTGGTCGGTCGAGCATCTATAGTTGTTCCGAACCTTTGTCCATGAATAAGGATTTAATATTAACGATGGAAAGCTTCCATCGAAATTCTCGAGATCAAAGGCCAGAGGACCTGCAAAAATTGGTAATACATCAAAAAAAAATGAAGGAGAAGAAAACAAAAATCATATTAAAGAAAAGAACGCTATAAACTAAAAGTAGTAGCAATGCTGATATCAACATACAAAAGATTAACTTAGCATGGACTTCATCTATAGTGAGGTTAAGTGGTTAACATAAATATGATCTGCAAACTAAAAAGTAGTAGTAGTGTTGGTAGCAACACGAGTTACTACTTAGCAGATATATTTTGCATAATTAATGTTTTTCTGTAGTATGTTATTCATGAGTTATTCTATTTTATTTTTTTGTACAGTGACCTTCTGGTTTCCGGATCCACAGGGGAACCGATTAATCCAGAATCGAGCTGGGTAGAGCGGCAAACGGATGGTGTTGTAACGAAGAAAGTGCTTTAAAAATAAATTGTATTTTCATTTTATATATATAACTTGAGACAACTTATTGTTTTCATTTTATAATTCAATTTGAGTAAACTTGTAATAATCATTATAATTATATAAAGAAATAGTTTCCTTATGTTTTTAAGGAAAGATTATTAATATATATATATATATCCTCCCTATATATAATTCCCGAATGCGTTGAGCCTACGTGGCTGCTTCTGGTGCTTCGGAATCCTACTTGGCGAAGAATCATGCTTCGTAATTAGGTTTGGACAAATAATATTGATATATTAATAATTAATAACTAGGTTCATACATTCCATAAATATTATTTAGCTAACTTAGGTATTTTAATATCACTTGTACTAATATAACCCTTTAATTTCTTGTAATTTTACATAGTGAGTCATTAAGTGACTAATATATCCCTGACTTTTGATTTGTTTCCTTCAATTAGCTATTGAATTGTAAATATATTTTAAAAGTTGATAACTTTTGTATTTCTTATCGATTTTACATATATAATATATCAAATTAATCATCTTTTGATGATTTTCGATTTGACATCCACATGGTATATATTGAAATAAATAAATTATATTTATATTTATAATAATAAAAAATAATATATTTATAAAATTCATTAGAAAAATAAAATTATTTCTCAATTGATATATTTATGTTTAATGTAATTATATGTTGTAAGTTAAAAAAAAATATTATAATATAACATAGGTAAGTCGTACAAATAAAAAATGTCATACTAAATATATAATAATATATATTTTTATAAAAGATATTTAAATTTTCAACTTTTTTCTCATTTATTTTAGATTCTTAGAAAAAATTAACAAGCTCCCATGTAATACACGAGAGTTGTACTAGTATATATATAATGCTAAAAAAAAACAAAATCCACAAAATTTTCCTATTTAACAACTAAAAGTGTTTAGTGAAAAATTACTCGTATTATTTTAAAATTCGTGACTGCAACTGGGATTTACCCCAAAATTGGGTGAAAAACAAGCAGAGCATAAACACTTCCAGCTCGCTCCTTAAAACAGACGGACGGCTAAAAAAAACCCACCGATTTCGTAAACAAGGCCGGAAAAACCCGAGCAGCCCGGGCCGCCGGTGAGCCAAAGCACCAGAGGATCCCTTTCCGGCTCATTTTCCGACTCGATGAAGTAGTAAAACAGCTGAACCTCCTCGTTTTCTCCGACGCCGATGTACCTGCTTCAACCAATTCGAAAATGAATATCTGTTAGCACAACCCAAAAAAAAAACAATGGAAATGAAATAAACCGGGGAAAATTGTCTCTAAGAATCCGACCCGGTTTCGAGTTTGAAAGGCAGGTTTCCAGGGTAGCCCGGCAGGGTCTTCACTGTCGACTGCGAAAATGCCGGGTCGAACCGGATTAGAACGAGAAACAGCAGATAATGCAATCGGGCTGTCGGCATTTGAGGCCTTGTGCTCGTCATGTTTTTTGAGCTTATTGTTAGCTAAAGTCGGTGAGTGAGGTGCATTATTTGAGTAGATAAAAAAGTAAGCGGTCCCCAATTAGAAGTGTCATCATCGAGCAACCGTGCAATGTACTTGTGTAAACAATTCAATGTCTCTTTTAAGAGCAATTGGCTTGTACAACTATTAGTACCAATGGTTGTGATGCGTGGCTAAGAGATATTTATTAAAAATTATAAAGGCTATGTTTGGTAAAACTAGCTGATAGTTGATAAACTAATTTATAGTTTATCAGAATTTTTTTAGCTTATAGCTTATGACTTATAGCTGGTAAATTACGTTATATGATAGAAGTATTTGATAAAATTAGCTGATAAACTAGCTGGAATAAAAAATTCAACAAACTTATTTGAAAAGTTACCTAAAGAAACTTATCAAATAAGCTCGAGTTTTTTTTTTTTTTTTTAAAAAAGCTCGTCCTACCAAACGAGGCTTAGGCTATGTTTGGTAAGCTAGCTTATAGCTTATCAGAAAATTTCGAGTTTATAACTTATGACTTATAGCTGAAAAGCTAGCTTACATGATAAAGGTGTTTGGTAAAATTAGCTGATAAGCTAGCTGGAATAAAAAATTCAACTAGCTTATTTGAAAAGCTACCTAAAGAAGTTTATCAAATAAGCTCGAGCTTTTTGAAAAAGCT